TATGTGACCAGGATTTCAATGTTTGAACATTGTATTTTAATAGGATATGATGAGACAAGCTGATGAGAATGTACATGATCACCAAGACTACCTGGACAGTACTAGTGAATTTTCCAATTGGTTACTGGAAATGAAGGAAGATTATGCTAAATGTGCGGAACCAACAGGTGATAGACAAACATGCCAAACTAAACTGGAACAGTTAAAGGTAAGATCTGAAATAAATCTTGTAAAATAATGGAATTCAAATATGAGTGTTTTTTTTTTTCAATTTATAATTAAATTTACAAAAATTTCAAAATTAATTTGAATGTTCTAGATGAACGTTCTCATCTGGTAATTACAGAATATTCATGTAATGGTTTTGTGTAATGGTGATTATTTTTTGTCAGCTACCTGATTATTATTTTAAAATTATTATATAATATTTTTTTGTTAATTTTTAATAAAATTAAAATGTTGAAAAGGCTTAATGTTTGAAAGGTGACCTTGTTTATACCAAGCTATAATTTATTCATATGGCAGTTGTTGTTACAAAGTGCATGTTTGAGTTTTGTATACATCGCTTCAATTAACCTATCAGGACATTGCATGACAACCACCATCTTTTAAATATATGTAAGGCATGGTTGAGGGGGGTTGTAAACTTTCTAAATCTGCAACATACTTTAGAATAATTTATTTTCGCTTGGAATTTATTTTCGCTATTTTCGCTGAAGGGATGATTCCGTGAAAATAAAATCCAGCGAATATAGTGTTTTTCCTATATTTCACATTTATAAACAAATTCCATACAAAACGCCCAAAAAGCCTTTTCAGCGAAAATTAATTCTAGCAAAAATAAAGTATTCCACAGTACTTTAGAGGGGAAATATCAACTGTGTTTAATTTGAGTTTTTATTTCACTGGTATTGTGAAGAAAACAATGCCGTCTATGGTTTACTTTTTAATTTAGCACATTTTGCTATTTAGCTATTTATAGTAAGTGAAAATAAAACCCAGTTGATAATTAAGTCCTACATAATAATGACATGAAAGGAGCATTTATATGTAACATTGCCGTGTATTATTTTATTAGACACTGCTTGGTAAGAAGGAGGAAGGTCAGATAAAACTCAACGTTATAGTGAATCAAGTACACAAAGTACTACCACACACATTACCAGAAGGCAGAGAAATCATCAAAGATGACTTGAAATCCATGAAGGAGGAATGGGAAGCTTTGATGAATGATGTTGCTGAATCTAGAGGCAGGTTAGAGGCCAGTTTACAGCAATGGGGTACTTATGAAGACAGCTATAGACAGATATGTGAGTGGTTGGATGATATGGAGTCAAGGTTGCAAAGTGATGCCGAACTTAAAGACGATCTACATGACAAGAAACTACAGTTGGAAAAATTGAAGGTAGTGTGTCATATCATGTTGTTCCCATCTAGTTAATAACACAATATATTGAATTGCCATAATCGGGTGTAGTGTGTGATTAATCTTTCGAACATCAGAAACCAATCTGTTTGCAGAATAATGTCATATATACCGTACCGAGAGAGAATCCTGTCCCAAATAAACATGTTGGTTGCTTGGCATATTAGTTTCCATACGAGTAAGTGTTATTTTAATTAATATAATTCTTGAAATCATAACTATAATTTAATTTCTTGATAGTCATTACAACAAGATATTCTGGCTGACAAACCAATTATGGATGCCTTTGTGATGAAGGCACAGGAGATTCAACAAACCAGCACAACTCGGGATCAGTCAATCGGTAGACATGCATCTGAAGTGGAAAACAGATACCAGAATGTTTCTGCTAAAACTAAAGAACGTCTGAAAGAGCGGGAACATTACGTTCATGAGCATGAGTTGTACAGTACTGCACTGCAGGACTTTACTGAGTACTTCAAGTTAACCAAAGACAGATTTAACACATGTGCTGATCTCTCTGGTGATAAGATTGTCATGGAAACAAAGTTACTCAAAGTACAGGTAAAATGTTATAAATGTTGGAATTTTACATTAAATCATCTTTGCTGTTATTTCAGTGTGGCAAATAACTTTTCATGAGTACAATGCATCATCAAATGATGTAACTTCTACTCTTTTAAAGCCATTCTGAAGTTACTTAGAAGATTTAGCCTGATTGGCTCCCTAACACCTAACAGTTAGTCCAATCAGAGAGCAGTTTGACGTATTAAATTCTGCCTTGTATATATGCTTCCACTCAACTGCTCTTTTTAAACTCTCTGATCTTTAGGAGTTACTGTCAAAGAGGCACCAAGGCCAAAGTAAACTGAACAATCTTACAGAATGTGCTAGCGATGTGAGACCCCACACGGCACCAGAAGGTCAAGAAAAGATCAGTAGGGAAATGGATAAATTACAGAAAGACTGGGCCATGTTGATCAGCCAGATGCAGGATTCTCGGAGTAATCTAGATTCTTGTCTGGAACAGTGGAATAACTACGAAGACCGGTATGACCAGTTAGCCAGATGGGTGAGACAAGCAGAGGAAACGTTGAAATCCTCATCTGAGTTACAGCCAGGATTGAAAGAAAAGAAATTACAGCTTGAAAGATTCAAGGTATGAATAATGTATTTATATGTATGCTTAATAAAATGTCAGATCAAGATTTTTATAAGACATTTTAGGAACCCTTCTTGTATTTTCAAAAAAAAAAGTAAATTGTTGAATTTCATTTGTAGAAATTTATTTTTATGGTGAAATTAAAGGGGTTTGCAGTGATATGTATGCATAACCATGGCAATGCAAACAATAGGACCTCTATACCAAAAATAATTATACTAATTATAGGCATATATTTCCTGAGAATGGCTTCAATGTTTTGTCTCTGACATACGGATAATGTTTATATATTGTTTATCATTCTAATATTTTTGCAGAGTCTTGATCAAGAGATTATTTCACAACAAATCCAGATTGAACCTATTTGTGATGAAGCCCAACAGATAGTGCAAGCTAATGCTGCTGAGATCACTGTAGGAAACCAAGCTTCCCAGTTATTATCAAGATACGAGGGACTTCAAATCAATTCAAAGGTCAGGTCATAGTTCATTCCGTTTTACCTGTGAGGGCTCTTCATTGTGTTATGCTTGTTATATTGTCCACAATGTGCATGTATGTGAAAGATAGTTTGAGATGGGCATATGATGTATGTGTGTGATTAGAGAGAAATATCAACCAAGTTTAGAATGTTTTTTATATAATAACTTATTTTTCTACCCTATCAATTTTAAGCTTTGTTTGTTATGAAAGTGATTTTATCTGATTTGTTATGAAAGTGATTTTATCTGATTTGTTATGAAAGTGATTTTATCTGATTTGTTATGAAAGTGAATTTATCTGATTTGTTTTGAAAGTGATTTTATCTGATTTGTTATGAAAGTGATTTTATCTGATTTGTTTTGAAAGTGATTTTATCTGATTTGTTTTGAAAGGGATTTTATCTGATTTGTTATGAAAGTGATTTTATCTGATTTGTTATGAAAGTGATTTTATCTGATTTGTTTTGAAAGTGATTTTATCTGATTTGTTATATATGAAAGTGATTTTATCTGATTTCATTCAAACTAATAATACCATTAAAGTAACGCATGAAGGGTTGATAAAACAAAAATAATTTGGTTGACACTTTAATCAACATTTCTGTTGATAGAGCTTCATTAGCACCCTAACAATACATAAATGGGAAATTTTTTACACCAAATTTATTTACTGATTTGACTTCAGTTAGCTCCATAAAAAAGTGTTTCTGATCAATTTGTTTTTCAACTTTTTTTTTCTAATATTTAAAAATTCTGATTTTTCGTGACCATTGGAATTTTCAAATACTCAAACACAATTTTAACTGAGGCATGCAGTTATCACTAACAAGTGAACCTTGTCAAGGCTTCAATAGTTTAACTATGTTCACCTTGACATGTACTTTTGATTTTAAACTCTTCTATCCTCACTTAATCTAAACATTACGTTGTTTTGTGATGTTTCGTTTTTTGGTCAACATTCCAAATATAAGGGTGTGTCTGAGCACAGTCTTAGGTATTTGTGTTTTTTCAATAACACTTATATTGTAACTAGGGATTTATTTTAGTGCCAATTACACTTAGCAAAGTAAAATAAAACCAGTTTATGAATACTCAGCTCTGATCTCATTGTCCAATATACACGCAATCAATGTTGATTACACAATGAAAATTTAAAACTTCTTTTATTCAAACAAGTTGGCAAAAACAATAAATGCTTATAACTGCTTAGCAAATGAGAACCAAGTCTAAATAAGAGCATAACAATGTGAAGTCATCAAATTAATGTCATTCTTTCAGATTGAGTGATTGTTACTAACCTTTGTCTGTTGTACCTGAATGAAAAAATATTACCTTATTTAACTAATTGATGTGTTGTTTGAAGTGGTGCACATTGCCTGGCTAATCAATTTAAGCACAAACCCATTCTCTCATAGGAAATACCAGTTAAATAATTAATTTCTTGATGTTGATGTATTTCACATATGATAAATGAAACATTCCTTTCCCCAAAACAAATGTCCCCTCACACACACACACACACACACACACACACACACACACACACACACACACACACACCCAATGAATCTGGTTCCATGTTCATGTGCTAGCATAGTGATGCACCTAACATTCACTGCATATAAATTGCACACCATTGTGTCCTTGGTTGTAATGTTGTCCTTGTATATTTGATTTCAGGAGACTTTAAAGAGACTAGAAGTACACATAGATGACCATCAACAGTTTATTGATGCCATACAGGAATTCAACACCTGGTTACAGGATGCTATACACACATTACATAATAATTCTATTGTATCTGGTGATAGAGCTGACCTGGAAAAGAAAATTGCTGTTATCAAGGTGAGCCATCTTGATATCTCCCAGCATTTTAGAAATTGTTTTCAATTTATGGTTACATTTTCCAAAAAGATGTATTATTATTGTCACTACTCACCTTTGAATTGTACTGTGGTTGTTCAAAGACACTATAAAAAGTGTCTTTGGGTTGTTATTGTAAACATTTCATCTTTAACATGAAAGTCAAAAAAAAAAAATTGAAAACAATAAAAAAAGAAGATAAAATTGCACATTTAACATAACAGTTAATAATGATTTGTATTAATGTGCATATTTTTCATTGAACATATGAATTATCAGCATTTTTATTCATATTCACAAACTGAATAATTTTTAATTCAATTTTTCCAAACTAGGAGCTGCAAACTGAGAGAGCACATGGACAAGAGTTGCTGAACCAGACAGTGGACAGAGTACATAAAATATTGCCACACACAGCTCCAGCTGGTAGAGAGTATGCCAAACAACAGTTACAGACTGCAAAAGAAGACTGGGAGAAGTTTCTTTCAGAGCTGAGTGAAGCTAAGGGAAACCTAGAAACATCTCTGTTGCAGTGGCACAGTTATGAAGACAATTATGACCAGATATTGAAGTGGTTGACGGAAACAGAACAGAGTCTGTCGCCTGAAACTACCTCTCAACTTTATTCTGACTTAAATGGAAAGAAATCACATCTTGAAAAGTATAAGGTAAGTGTCATTTATCCAAATAAATATCATCCATCAAGTTGTATTTTGTACTATTATAATTGCATTTGCTTACATAAATGCCATATTGCTAACAACAACTGATATCAAGTGTACAAAGGGTTTAGACAGTTTCCGGTTTCTGCAGGGTTTGGTTTTTATTTTATTATTCATAGAGGTGAAATAAAAGGCAACAATAGATGTCATCCTATCAGATGGAAGTGTAACTTATCTTTACCCAGCTTTGAGTTATTCATTAATATTTTATTTATTTATCAGTAGGAAAGTATCAGTACTATAATTATGTTAATTATGCTCACTGCAACAAAATTGGACAATTCAATAATGTTCGAAAATAGCGATTTTGTAATTTGGGTTTTTGAAATTCAAGTCTGATATTACTTTTAAATATATACTATAAATAATTGTTCTATTATTGCTAAGCTCCTATCTCACACTTTATTAAATAATTAATAATTAAATAAATTTTGCCATTTTTGATGACAGTTTTAAGTTGTCCAGTACACATACTTAAAATTTGTTCATCATCTGAATGGCATGAACCCATAATAATAAAAGTACAAAGAAATTGATAATGATATTCAATTAGTCAAACCTCCATAAACAACTGTGGTATTGATTTATATAATTAAATTGTAAATGAGTGTATAAAAACATTACATTCCCATAACAATAGATTATTTATAGTGTCCAGCAGTGTCTGACATCTGTTATGTTTATGTTATTTTTGGAATTGGTATAACAGCATCTGCTACCCCATAACATTTGTTTCATTCAAATTTAAAATCAGTTCCATTATATATTTGGTAATTACATTTTTATGATGTTTTTTGTCAGTAACACCACCCACCTGTTGCTTTGTTTTCACCATTTGTTTATCTGCATTGTGTTTCTGAGAGAGAAAAATATGTCTTGACTGTCCTATGAATTATTTTCACCTGAAAAAATTATTATTTGTGCTAAGAAAAAGATTCTTTTATTAAATTCTGCTTGTGATAACAAACAAATTTTTTTTTTTTGCTGCATAGGCAATACAACAAGACATTGTTGCTCATCAAAGCATTACTGATGCAGTCACTCTAAAAGCTCAGAGTATTCTTGAAACCAATGTTGGTGAAATAAATGTTGGACATCAGGTCTCTGAACTCTCCAGTAGATATCAAACTGTATCTCTGGCAGCAAAGGTAGGTTTATTTGCATAATATTTGAATAAATGTATTTGTAAAATTAACATATGAATAAGTTGATTTTCTGATTGGCTGAGTTGTGAACTTTGACCAAACTGCAAATTAACAGAATTATGAGCTGTAGAGTGTTAAAGTATTAATAGTGGTCAAGTGGTTTGGGTTGACCCAACACATAAAAAAAAACCATCATGGTGAGCTAGCTGACCACGGCACGAAATGCCAAAAAAGCAGAAAAAATCCTTGAAAAAAAGGCTAGGATTTGTTAGAGTATTCACTCGATGTTGTTCTGGTTCTTCTGCCGATGTACAGGATGTTGTGCAAGACACAGAGAAAAAAGTGCATGACCACTCAGTTTATGTTGACAATGTACAAGACTTCTCAGACTGGCTGCTATCAACAAAGCAGAAACTGGCAACTTGCTCTGAACCTTCCGCAAGTAAAACTGCAAATGAAGAGAACCTACGCAAACTGGCGGTGAGTAATGTCACCCGATTAATCATTAAACACAATTTAATATTTTCAGTTCACCTGTTAATTTTATCTACGAAATACAGAAATAAAGACAGTGTAGATGTATCTACATTTGTAATTTATACTTAAATAAATGTAGGGGGAGGCCCCTATATCTCTTATCGACAATTGTTGAAATTAATGAGCCGAGGCTAAACCTGATGACCACAACAATAGGCCAAAATAAATAAAATGTCAGTTGTTGAGTATCAGGTGACCTCCAGTCACCTTTTAATGTGAACTGGTACATGCGTGTAGTGTCATGCATACGTGTTAGCATGTTTCATACACCTCCCACGGAGAATAATTAATCAAAGCACCATCTTTACAGGAGGACTTTCATATTTTTGTTGACTATTTGGTTATTTTTAGAGATCACGGGGTCATAAATGTGAAAGGAATCTCGCACAGTAGTAAAAACATTCCTGGTTCATAAAGTTGTATTGGCTGTGTGCCATCTTTATTGTAGAAATTTTAAACAAAATAATCTGTTACTTACTATAACACTGTATTTAATTTTGTGAACTGTATAATTATGACAGTTGACGTTATTTATTTGGCAACAACACCTTTCCAGTATTGAATCATACACCTTGATTTGGGAAGCAATATTTTTTTCAAAAGTCCACTTTAAACAAAATGGCAATCCTTTCATCTTTATGTAAACACTTTTCCGCCATGTGTTTTTTTTTTCTTCACTTTTTACAAGAAGGGCTTCAATATAAACTTGAAAGAGCTGTTATGTACGTAGTTAAATTTCACAAATAAAAGTGTTGACTGTCTACATAGTAGTTCCGCAGGTAGATCAGTATTTGATGGGATTATTTGAATTACTCTACTTTCAAGCTATTTCAACTCTGGTTATTTGTATAATTGTAAAAAATATTGTGTGTTCTAATATAATTACTCACTTATTATGCAACATGCTGTCTCAAATCCATTGGTTTGTACATGTTCTATATCACTATGTGTATATACCTGGCTTTTGTGCATTGGATGAATTTAATGATTGGTTCTATCAATTCAATACATATTATTTCACACAGTCCATTTTAATATGACCATTAATGGATAAATTAATTTTAAATTATGTATCTATTGTGCCCTGTCTTGTTTGGTTTAACTTTACTAAAATATGGTTAAAAACGGTATTATATCTTGGTATATTCTGGGTCAAAAATCAGTGATTGTGATTGGTTGTACTTTGCAATACCAAAATCAAATAAATAAAAATAGACCATTTTCCGTACACTGCGAGAATCACGCGTTATGCGTGAAATCGAACGTAAAAACAGGACAAACAAAGGTCATAGCGTCGTAGTCGCGTAAAACATCGCGTGGGATTCGACAAACGCGAAAGTATTTCGGGGAAATTTCCATGCTTAATAATGTGCTGTCCACATTTGATGATAGGCAATTTAAATTAAGTGAGGGTATTCGGAAGCAATATTCCTCTGTCGAAGATCAGCCGGTCGATGTGAGCTACGAAATAAAGAAATTCAAGTTCAAAATCAAATCGTTCGATTTTTGCGGCAGACGTTCGACGCGCGTCTTTCATGCATCTCGCGAGATCTCGCAAGTGTACGGAAAATCACCTATTGCTTGTGGATGAAATGGCAACAGTATTACAAACAATATCACTGTGAGCAAGTGCTGATTTGTGGCAACATAAACTGATCTAAGGTTAGGAGATACAGGGCTGTGGGGATCATTTTATAATACCAAAGGTGAATTCAGTGATTGTGGAGTATGCTAAAAGGAAATCCACGTTTGTTAAAACTAACCGATATTCACATTTTAATCTAATCAATATCCATGTAATGTATTTAGCGTATGTATTAATAACTAACTACCGGTAGTTCTAACTGTGAAATCTCCTAATAAGTGACTTGCTAATAAACAAAGGTTCTATCTTTGTAGTATTCTGAAGTACATTAATTTTGTAAGTTAAATTGAATAACTTTTCATTGGAGATTATAGAGATTCATACATACATGAGATTTTATGATAATCAGCAATAATTTTTGTTCCATTTTTAATAGCAAAGAACTTGTGCCGGGTATATGGTGAATACAGGTACATGTACATGTATAAATAGGACAGTATAAGGGCATAGTAGTTAAGTATCTGTTACTAAAACAATCAAATTATGTTTTCATTATTTTCTACTTTGCCAGGATCTACTGACATCAAAACAGCAGGGCCAGAGTAAATTTAACAATGTATTGGAGACTGGTGAGCACATCCTGTCACAGACTGCACCAAGTGGTAGAGAAAACATCAAAACGGAAATGATCACCTTGAAACAAGAATGGGATAAATTGGTCACTGAAATTGCTGAAACTAAAAACAAGCAAGAGGCATCATTACAGCAGCTGAATAAATTCCAATACAGTTATAATCAGCTGTCTAAATGGCTCACTGATGTGGAACAACAACTGAAAATTGCAACAGAACTTCAACCAGGTTTATCAGAGAAACGAAGGCACTTAGACAAATACAAGGTATGTGTGAATGTGATGTGGTAAAAGTAGTCTGATTTACATAGGTTTTAATACTCCCAATAACGTTGATCACCCATAGCAATATTCAATATAATTAAGTTTGGTATTAGTTAACAAACATATTGTGTGACTATTTACATTAACTTGAGTGTGGAATTTATCAGTACCTGAAAACATTCCTTTTGCTTAGTATTGCACAATTTCTACTTTGGGGCATGTTTGGGGCCTCTGAAATGTTTTCAATGAAATGGATCTATGGAATCAAATTCTTAGTCATATGTTTGAAAAAGTCTTGATATTTTTTTTTTATAAATTGTCAATATACATGTTGCTGATCAGAATTATTATAAAACTTAATTGTATAATTTTTATTTTCTGTATCCATGATTTCATCATTTATGGGTAGACACAAAAAAATTGTGAATTATAAAAAAATTACTAATTCATAAAAAAAAAAGCTGGTATGAAACTATCAGGTAGAAAAAAAATTAACAATGATTTAATTATTCGAAAACCAGTGTAGTCTATGATTTGTTATGTATTGTTTCAATCACATAGTAGTTGTTTATTTTTTTATTCTTTTTCAGGCTTTGAATGACAATATTGGTGCTCACAAAAGTACCCTTGATAGTATAATTGCAAAGTCACAAGAAATCAAAGATATTTCCACCGGTGATGTCACTGTGATTAATGATGTAGCTAAACTGTCATCACAGTATGAATCAGCAGTTGTCAAAACTAAGGTAAGTAACACATGTTTTCCCATACTTGAACAAACATTATTTGGAGAGGGAAAAGTGCTTCTAGCAATTCTATAGAGCGCCATGTATTGGTCACAGTTTGTTTGACGACCGGTACTTGAGATAAGAATATCATTGCAATATACAAGACCTTTTGTTAGCATGTGTACTTTGAGTTCAAGTTCAATATTTGCTGAGCATCATTACAATCTCAGATAAGAGGCACTGAGTTGTTACTTCATGTAGGTAGTTCACATTTGAAGTTTTAATATATGCAGACATCAATTGTACATCACAAGATAAGTGATTTTATGATTTCATTCATTGTGGCCAGCAGTCATTCTGTCTTGTAAATTACCTATCAATTATACTTACATGTGATATATATGATGTACTACTTGTTATCAAGATAAAACAGACAGAATATTCACATTGAATTGTAACGGTGACATTTATGGTAATTTGTTAACCATGTTGAGGAATTATAATTTAATTTAATACAATATAAAACAAAATAATGATTCTAATGCATTGACAGTCATAGCACAAATAATTTACAACAATAGATTGAAGTTATGTCCCTGTGGCTGTTGTGGTAATTCATTGCTGTCACTTGCCATCAATCACTCCTAACATTGCGTAGATGCGTGTGTTTCAGTGAACACCCTGCAGTGTTCTGTGATTTGTGTGCCACCGACTTTTTGAACCTTTTCTTGATTTGTATCTCATCAATGTATAAGCTTGTTGCATTGTATGTTTGTAAAATTTTATTGGCACTTTATAGCATGGCCAATGCATAACATGTTTGTACCAATAAGGTGTTGTCATTGTTGTCTCGTACTAGTAGTAGTTGTCATTCAAATGAAGTGGGTTAATTTTTTGCATATATGTGGGTGACAACTCCGGTGTACTTTGGAATGTTGAAACCAAAAATGGTGTGGTGTGTTCAACTCTATGAGATTCAGCAACCATAGCATGATAATTTTAGTGCTGCTTGTCTATATTACTATTCAGGATATCTTGCGAAGACTCGAGCAAAATGTTGTTGAACAAAAGCAGTATGATGAATGTGTGGTTGAAGTCAGGAAATGGTTTGAAGAGGCTGAACAGAAACTAGAAGACTGCAATAACACAGCTGGCAGCAGAAATGTTCTAGAACACAGACTGACTGATGTGAAAGTAAGTACACCTGTTTTTTCATACTATCTGGAGTAACTGGACAAAATATGGTTATGTGGTGTTATTGTTTATAATAGTGGTATTATTTACACTTTGAGCTGCAGGTCATATTTGTGTTGCTAAGGGTTGCTGGGACAATTTATTCTTTGGCTTCCTAATAAACATATTTATCAGCTTGTTCATACACCCACCAAACAATAAAAAAAATTTGATCTGCCTAAGTCAAGCAATAAATTGCTGTCTGCTGCAACATTGCTATTTTTGTACATAAAACTTTTAATTTGAAACAGGTTTTAATATATGACCTTTGACCTCAACAAATGGAATATTGTTATTTATATATTTCTGACCAATAAAGTTATTTTCATTAAATATAGCCTTTATTTAATTCACTGTTCAATCTAACAATATTATGTGTGAGTGACCTTTGACCTACCTGGCTGTCATCAATCATTTTGTAGATCAGCAAATCCTTCCTCTGATTTGACAGGTTCTAATGCTCTTTTCTTTTAAATTTTCTTCTGGCACTGCAGGTTTTTATTTTGTTTCTTTCATTTTTAGAGAAAGATATCCATCTTTTTAACAAGTTGTTTAAGATGTGTGCCTGTAATCTTGAATTTAGAAGAAAAATCACTCAAATAATGACAGTAAAGCATCTGTTGTATACAATTTTGTATAACTTCACATCAGTAATGTGAAAAAGACTATATTCTGAAAAACTGACATCATGTCTGACGTCATGTTACTATTAGAGAAACACTAAATGTTTTTGTCGAGTGTCAAAAGTCCTGGTCAAATCATTTTGAGTTGTTTTGTGATTCTCCATTACAGAATCTCCTAGCTATTAAGCATGTTGGCCAAAAGAGACTGGAGCTGGCTGTCAGCGAAGGAGAAAAGATTATCCCACAGACTGCTGAAGGAGCACAGGGAAGAGGAGTCATCAGAGAGGAGATTGATGCATTGAAAAGGAAATGGGATAGTCTGAATAACCAGATGAGTCAATGTAAAGATACTCTTGAGAAATGTGTACATGAGTGGGAGGTGTATGATTGTAACTATGAAATGGTTCTCAGATGGCTAAAAGATAAAGAGGAAGCTTTGAAGAGCTCAACTGAACTTCAACCCACAGCATCAGAAAAGAGCAACCAACTAGAAACTTACAAGGTACTGTAAATTTATACCCATCATGCACTATCCAAGATGGCTCATCATATCCTCAAATGTATGTCCATCATGCACTATCCAAGATGGCCTATCATATCCTCAAATTTATACCCAAAATGCACTATCCAAGATGGCCCATCATATGCTCAAATTTATACCCATCATGCACTATCCAAAATGGCCCATAATATCCTCAAATTTATACCAACCATGCACTATCCAAGATGGCCCACCATATCTTCATTTACTTTCCACCCCATTGAACCTTCCTTTTGTATTTCACAGGAATTGCAACATGACATCACAGGTCACCATGACAACTTGCAGAAAGTGATGGAGAGTGTTGAACAAATCCTAGCCTGTAATCCAGATGATGCCAGTATTAGTAGTCAGTCTCAACAAATCCAGTCAAGGTATCAGGATGCAGAAGATACTGTCAAGGTAAAATAAATAACATTTTATTTTTCGCTACTTCAAATTGTTAATAAACATTTTTCAATATTATTTTTAATATCTCTTAGCCTTTGCTAAAATGTGTGATATTTATAATACGAACAACAATAAAATGTTTTCTACTCAGTACCGGTATTAAGAATTTTGACTTCACTCACTGTTAAGTCAAATAGAGAATAATTTTTTTGTTCTGGTTTCTGCTAAAATATGTAAAAATGAAAACGCAAACAAATGTTATTTATTTTTTTTTAAAACCTATACAACTTGTATACAACTCATATCTGTTGGTAGTGCAAAGTTATAAATCAATTATTTGGCAAACTTCACATTAGATTTATTTAATTAATTAATGTTTTCCTCCTCACCCCATTACAGGAAGCCGTTAAGAGGATAGATAAGAACCTAGCTGACCATCAGAGATTCAATGATAATGTACAGGTTTGCAGAGACTGGTTAACTGATATGAAACAGAGACTATCTGGTTGTCTTGATTCATCAGGGGATAAAGAAACCAACCAAGAAAAGCTCAACAATATACAGGTACATTCATGGCATGCTTCTTTGTTTTAATTGACATCTTTGGACACTACGATGTTCTGGGAATAGATTTGTAAACATGGGAAACACACTTTGGATTAATGGCGCCCTCTTGTGATGAAAGACAGAGGCATCAGATTTATCTGGTAGCAGATGTTTAAAGTTAGATTATAAATTTTATTGGAAAACGAAAGACTGAATTGTAAATTACAAGATATCCATGAGTAAAAAATGTTTGACTTTAATGTTTTATGACAATTTTTGAAAACTAAATCATTTCTCATTCTAGTATTGTTTTGTGACATTTCAGTCAAAATGCCAGTCTGACAATAATTATTGAAAAATACCGAAAACTATAACACCTTTTGATAATATTTCTTATTAGGTTTTAAAGTTTATAACAATTTGGCTAATGGTAAGCATAAATATTGAACATTCTTCAATTTAATATATTTATAACAGGAGCTAATGTCTAGAATACCGGAAGGAGAAGCCAAATTACACTCTACACAGGAACAAGGAGACAAAATACTCACCCAGACAGCACCAGCTGGAAAACAAGCAATAAAACAACAAGTGCTTGTACTGAAGCAAGACTTTGACAATCTGTTGAAGCAGATGCAGGAATCTACATCCACGCTTGAAGCTAGTCTAGTACAATGGGGTAGTTATGAAGACAGTTACTCAGAGCTGTCACGGTGGTTACAAGAAATGGAGGGCACATTACTCAGTGGTTCTGAATTGAAACCCAGTCTGGATACAAAGAAGACTCATCATGAGAGAATCAAGGTGTGTTAATTAAAATAACATTGGCTGTCTTTTATTGTTTCAGCAGCGTGCAGTGGTCTTCCATGTAACCATCAAACTTACCAACTTTAATAGTTCTTTACCTAATATAATATACTTTGCTAATGATTCATACTACCTGTTATCTCTTGCAATCTGGAATATTAAGTAATCAGTTTCTTAACTTTCGATTTATATGATCTTTTGATTTCATCTAATATGTTTCTACCATTCTCTGCCATAACACTTATAGTAATTATTATTTAATGCACTCATCTCCAACAATTGTAGTCTTGAAAACTGTTCTACAAAGACCCCAGTATCTGATTTGAATGCTAATTTCTTAAATCCTTGATCTGTAACTATAAGATATGATCACAATACGTTTTACCAATTAACACACGTTTCTCTAGTCTTCACTGTGGTAATAAACCATCTGAATTTATCAAATGAACTGTACTTGGTCATCATATCATTGAGTTTTATAATTACTAGGCTTATCTACAGTACTCAAAGGATTTAACAAATCGACCTCTAAGAGAGATGAGTGTAGTACTTATTCTAAAATGGGACATACTGACCATCATTATCCATGCATGTTACCCGGTGATGCTTAAAGTAATGCATGTTGCTAGCTGCCAATATGGAATGCTATATTTCTTTCTCTCTCTCTCTCTCTCCCACCATAGGCTGTGCATGATGAGATCATTACTCATCAAGGGGACATTGATGCTCTGAATAATAAAGCTCGTCAGATTCTTGACACTAACGTTGGTCATGTCAGTGTTGGCAGTGATGCCACCAAGATAACAACTCAGTATCAGAAATCACTTATGGATGCTAACGTAAGTATTCAGCACTTTTTACATGTGTATCAAGTCCCAACAATTAAGGTTGAGCAAAGTTCTAGTTGGAGACCTATAGAAGATAATATTTGGTAATTGTAGTCCTAAATAACTATTAAAAATAAACCGGTCACTGGTAGCATAGTGGTTGTCGCATCAGACTCATGATCGGTAGACCCAAGTTCAAATCCTACCTCAGGCTGAACATCAAAAAGGTCAACCCCTACCCTGGGTGAGTGTGCCACAGACACAATGGGAAGGTCAATTCCACTGGCCGACATTCATTCACTATTAAATGAATGCGACTTTGGGGAAACTTTGGTTAAGGTCCGCAGGTGCTTGTGTTCGACCGAGCCTGATTGATGCCAGGATAGCGCCATTTGATAGGAAGACGGCCGCGCATCCCTGTCATGTAGTCCCAAACATGAATATGACTTCTGTGGCAAAGATGCACTATGTGTCAGCACTTGCAATTTGCACATACAAAAAAAAGTCAGAGACAACAGTGACATTCAATGTCCGGAACTGTCGCCTGGCACAAAAAATATTTATAAAAAAAAAAAAAAAAAAAAAAAAATGGCTCTTTATCAAAACGTCTAGCTATTTTTAATAGTTATTTAGGACTACGATTACCAAATATTATCTTCTATATATCATATTTATCAGTCCGAGCAGCGTTTATTTAGTTGGAGACCTGCCGTTCTCAGGACTAAGCTGAAATCAACAATCAGCTTTGTTCTGCATGGCTGATGTCGATAATTGTTGAAGCCCCGATGAAATCTCAGGTCTACTATGAGTGACATGCATCTGAACACTCAGATTTGCCATTAAATATCATATTATGTATAACACCAGCCTCCTCTTTCACAAGATAATTTCCATTCCCCTAATTAGTGCATTATTGTGATTAATACTGACATTTTGAAATTCTATTCGTATCTTGGGGGTTTTCTTATAGGAATTTCTGAGAAAGGCAGAGACCAATGTATTGGAACATCAACAATATCTTGATGCCGCCCAGGACTTTGTACTATGGCTGAATGCCACCAAAGCCACACTTGCTCGCTGTACAGAAGTTGCTGGTGATAAAGATACCATGGAATCCAATCTACACAGATTACAGGTAATAATTTAGATGGGGTTGTTTTCGCATTAGAATCTCTTTGCCTTCACATTTATTCTGGATATTTTGTTCACTGTATCTGTGAAAATTAAAATAATAGTTATGATTTTGAAATACTTTTTTGCGTAGTGGAGAATTTTTTCAGATATCAAGCACACATCACATTGTGCATGTACTTAAGGCTCATATGCATACTTTCAAATATAGTCCAATGAATCTTCTTTACATTTCACCTTCTAGGAGCTGATCCCACATAAACACAAGGGTCAGACTCTACTGAACACCACAGTGAGCAGGGGAGAACGAATCCTACCACAGACTGCAGAACCTGGTCAAGAAGACATCAAGAAACAACTACAAGAATTACAAAATGAATATGACAAGTTAGTTAGAAACATGAATGAATCAAAACACAGTCTAGAACAGAGTCTGTATGAGTGGAAAGGATATGATGACATCCATGATCAACTAGCAAAGTGGTTGAATGAAACACAAGAAGTATTACACTCTTCATCAGAAGTCAAATCAGGACTGTTGGATAAGAGATCACAACTTGACAGATTCAAGGTACAATAATTATTATTTGAATGCCAATACATGAATGATATTAGTTGTGCATACTTTGCTGTTTCATTGTAATAATCTATAGTTATATTTCTCAGTTCAAACTACTTGGTGTACATGTATATTGCACAGAACTAGGCAAGGTGCTGAAAATGAGAGTATTAAAATTGTTTCTGTGAACTGAATTTTGCACATGTTTCCCAACTTGGGAACTAATCTTCCCGTTTATATAGAATTCACATTTTCTAGTAAAATAGGGAGCAGATACCCCATGCAATACTGCAAAATTACATCACACTGTGGATGTATAATAATAACCAGTATTACTTCTATTCAACAGAGTATGCAGCAAGATATTCTTCTGCACAACTCTGATATTGACATGGTCACGGCTAAAGCCCAGCAGATACTTGATAAGAGCACTGAGAGTGTTGCTGTTGCTAGTCACGTCGCTGAACTCTCAAGTCAATATCAACAATTGGTTTCCCTGTCTAAGGTAAGAGTCGTTATTTCAATCAAATACAGTTGTGTAGTTTGTAATATAAATTGAAGTGTGTGAAATATTATACATTCTGATTGTATCATAGACCCTAGAAATGGGTCTAATCTTTCTTATATGATGATCATATGAAACCTCAGATTTTACTCAACAAAACCATACAAACCATTTAATTTCACCTCAATCAATCCTGATGAAATGTTCACTGCTGCAAAAAACTTTGCTATTTTTCTTGACTTACAGAGTGCAGGAAAAATTTACAAAAATTAAGGCTACTTTACTCATGTTGTCCCGGATAAATGACATTTTCTCCTCTATTTTTTTATATGTAGTAATATTAGTGTAAATTGCCACCAAAAATATTCGAGATTTGTTCAGAATGACTACATTTAGACATTTCACAAAAGACGTGTCATCTCATGAAACCCATCAAGTAAAATTTTGTTACTTTCCCTGGCTTGTGAAAATTAAGCAGCTTATAGTATATTTTCTCATGCTTTATATGGGTTAATACAAACAGGACACTGAAGGGTATTAAACACTGAAATATTGTTTATTTGACAGGATGCTGTAAAGAAGATTGATAAGGATGTATCTGAACATCAGCAGTATCAAGATAGCATGCAGGACTTCATGGCATGGCTAAACAATGCTAAACAAAAAGCAATGAATTGTTCTGAACCTACAGGTGACAAGGAAAGCATCAGAAACAAACTCCATCAAATAGAGGTAATGTCATTGCCTCAATTTTGAAAGTACTGTCTCTCTTGAAGAAATATGTTACTTACAATGGTTTTATTCCAATTGTAAATTGGGTTCACATTTTGTGTTCTTTTTTTCTGTGTACAGGATCTACTAGCTGCCAAACAACAAGGTCAGTCTAAACTGAACACAGTAACAGATAAAGGGGAGAAGGTAATCCCCAACACGGCAATCGCTGGAAAAGAATCCATTAAACTACAGTTGCAGATTGCAAAGCAAGAATGGGAAAATCTAATAAAGAATTTGACTGAAGCGAAGGCAAGTTTACAAGATTGTGTGTATCAGTGGGGTAACTATGAGGATAACTATAGTCAGTTGGTTGTTTGGATGACAGAGACAGAAGATTCACTGAAAGGCGGTGATGAACTTCAGCCAGCTCTCATTGAGAAGAAAGTACATGCAGATAAATACAGGGTAAGTTCTCAGAATTATTTTTAGGTGTGGTTGCTTTTTTAAAATAAAGAAATTTTAAATGTGATTTTGTTCATAGAAAATGATTGCTTTATGTAATTACCGGTACTTTATTTTTGATGGACAACTTTTGAATTTTAAAACTTTTTTTTGCTTTTTTTTCCAGACAATTTATGAAGAGATCCTTGCTCAACAGCCTGTTGTTGATGATATTGATGATGAAGCACAACAAATCATGGAGAAAAATACTGGTACTTTAACTGTTGGTAGTGACGCTAGTAGACTAACTACTAGATATCAAACCTTGGTCTTGAATGCTAAGGTAGGTGTTACTTAAAGGGAAAGTCAAGCCAAACAACACAATGACCCCCAAGAAAAAGCTCCACAAATGTAGGAGAATGCAATTTACAGTTTTTTTATATCACTTTTCATTCTCTAGATATTCAACATTTCATCAGTATTATGTTGTCAGCCATCTTGATTCTCAAGCAAAGGATCATGGGTAAAGTATGACATCACAGAGTCTGTTGTAAGAAATTGAGAGAATGATTTCATCTATAACATGGGAATTACTGATGCGAATTAGTTCAAATTTTCGTTATGCATATAAATCTTGTATATGATTATAGTAATGTAAATTAGAATGTTACAAATACACATGAAGTAAAGATATTGCCAAAAACTTTAAAAAAATAAAAATCGTTATTTTCGTTGTAAAATATAGAATGACACTTTTTTGTCCACTTTTTATGATCAACAAGTAATATGACACCTATATAACCTACTCACATCGGTAAATTGTATACAATATAAGGAAATTTGAGCATTTGGTAGATAAACATAAAAATAAATATTTTCAGTTCTGTTTCCATGACAACTATTTTATAAGCATGTTTGGCACCAGTACATGTATGCTACCCTGTTCTAAACTTTCAGCCAATTTAAAGTTCAACTTTTGAAGTTATAGATGAAATCATTTTCTCAATTTCTGACAACAGACTCTATGATGTCATACTTTACCCACAATTCTTTGCTGA